AGTGACATGTGTGGAGAAAAGCACGAAGACCAGTTTGGCTGGTCCACAGAGTATGGGAAGGGTAATGATGTATAATAAGTTTGAAGAGATAGAATGAAACCAAAGTGTTCAGAGCTTAAAATGTCAAACAGGGAGTGATGTGGTCAAACTTTTGCTTTAGCAAAAATTAATCTTTCATGTGGAGGATAAATTGGAGAGAGTAGAGACTTGAATCTAGAAGAAATGATTTTGTATATATCATGCTTTTGCTTATCTATGTACATATAATAGAATATAAGCTCCTTGAGGGCAGGGACTATCTGTGTATTCCCAGCACCTACCACAATGCCTAGCACAATACCAATTAGGAAGTTATCACAACAGTGTAGTTAGGAGGTGATGAGGGCCTATAATTAAAATGGTAGTCATGTGATTAGAGAGTGTGATGTGGATGTTGTGCAGGTTAAGAAGAATATTTGACAACTGATTAAGTATGGGACATGAGAGATCGAGGAGTTGAGGATGATGCCAAGGTTGAAAGCTTGGTGACTGGGAAGATGATGGTGCCTTTGACAAAAATAGTGAAGTCCCGTCTAGGTGAACATTTTTATAATGGCGATTTCAAGGTACCTGCAAGGAACAAACTTAGGAAACAAAATCCATGCCAGTAGCAACTAATAAATGGCATTAGTCAGATGGTGGTTTTGAGAGAGATCCGTACATCTGTTTCTCTATGCTGAGCCCTGTTTCCATTTGTTATGGGCTTCAACAGATTGGTCAGTCTGTCTGGCTACATATGGCTCTGCTATTATCTCAGTCGGGATGGTGGTTTGTCTTTTGCTTTTTGGTATAAGATAAGATTCTCAGGTCTCTGTTCCCTCTCTGTAAGGATGGGGCTTCCTTCAGCCAGTGATTAGAACAATCCTCTTTCCTACAGGGCAGGAAGAAAATATATATCCAAGCCATGATGGATGAGTAAAGATTATCAGAATGTTGTGCTGAGGTAAGATGGGGATAAATAAATTCAAGTGAATAGGCAAGGCGTCATGAAGCAAGAGCTGGAGCAGTATAGAATATTGGATGAGTTTGGAATGGACTGGGTCAAAAACCACTATGGTGGGAATAGTGCAAAGCATCTATGAATCATCCTTTTTCTCACTTAAAATCTCTGCCTAATCACAGCCCTTGTACGGCAGCAGCCCGAGAACCCCTTTCATTTCTTGGTTTACATAGGTGTCATTTAGAATCCAAGTACTGCAGAAGGTAAACTTGTGAAGTCTCAGGAGCTTTGTCCTTGGTATTTCCTCCCTTTTCTGCTCCATTCTCTGATTTCTACCTTTCTTTATCCTTTCCCTGCTCCCAGTTCATAAGACCAGACACGCTTATGGTACGCAAGTCCATATCATGATGGAGGAAATTCAAAAGAACATTATGGGTTTTGAAGTCATTGTCAAAATGGTGCTGTGGGCAGCAGAACCATTTTTGGAATACCAACATAGTCTTCCAAGTTGACTACTTTGAAGATGATCACATTCATTTAGATGCATGATGTCTATTTTTATTCTTGTTGTTAATGTTTTTTAAATGATGACATATTAGTTTATAATAAAATCTCAAATTTTAAGGCAGAGGCATTATTGATACCCCTGAGATCAGACCACATATGTGAACATTGAAGTCAATTTAGATTCGACAGGCACTAGTTTTGATGTGTCTGCATGATATAAGATGGGGAAAGCAGTTAAGAAATAGATGGGGGAAGGGAAGAAGAGGAAGGACAGAAACCAAGCTGTGGGGCTGGTATGAGACGTAAGGAAGCACTCTGGAACTGGCCTGCTGATGCACTGACTCTCAACCTAAGGCTGGAGACTCAGACCAGAGATGGTGACTCAGAAATACCTGTTGCCACACTGACATTCTGTGTTAGTCTACAGGTTCCTGCTTCTTTTTTTTTTTTTTTTTTTTGGCTAGGCAATGGGGTTAAGTGACTTGCCCAGGGTCACACAGCTAGTAAGTGTTATGTGTCTGAGGCCGGATTTGAACTCAGGTCCTCCTGAATCCAGGGCTGGTGCTCTATCCACCACTCCACCTAGCTGTCCCCAGATTCCTACTTCTGAAAGGTCAGTCCAAAAGTTAGCAGGATACATCACTTACTCTAGCCTTAGAGAGGCCCCAAGTTATAGTGGAAAGACCACTGACTCTGGAGTCAGAGAACTGGGTTCAGTCTTGCTTCCATCACTAACTTAGGCAAGGTGCCTAAGTTTCTGGGTGTCAATTTCCTCCTCTGTAAAATGAGAAGGTTGAACTGGGTGGCCTGTAAGTTCCCTTTCAGCTCTAAATCTATAATTGCCCCAGACTGAAGATGAGTCCAGTGCTCTAGCTTAAACTTGGCTAAACAACCATGTAAAGTAAGCAAAGAATGAAAAAAGCAAATTATATTTTAGCTTTCTTTCTTTCTTTTTTTTTTCAAATAAAATCAGTGAATCAATTCTATCTAATCAAGGTAGGAAGCATGAACAAATGTGTTATTTAAAATATAAAAGAGAAATTACCTGATCTGTTTATATAGTTAATTTATTCATCCAATAAAAATTTATTAAGCAGCTGCCATGTGCCAGGCAATGTGTTAGGTGCTAGCAATACACAGATAAGTACATTTGTCCTTGATATTTCCTCTTCCCTTTTCTGCACCTTCATCTGATTTTTATCTGTCTTTATCCTTTTCCCACTCCCACTCCATAGGACCAGATGTGCTTATGCTATTCCAGTCCATATAATGATCAAGGAAATTCAAAAGGACATTAAGGGTTCTGAAGTCATTGACAAAATAATGTTATGGGCAATGGAAGTATTTTTAGAATACAAGCATAGTTGACTTCTTAGAAGGTGAGTACATTCATTTAGCATAATAAATAAAACAGTCCCTTGCTCACAAGGAGCTTATATTCTATTATATAATATGTATACAAACACACACACACAACACACACACACACACACATATATACAGAGATAAGTAAAAGGATGATATATACAAAATAATTTCTGAAAAAAATGGTGTATTTATTATGACTATCTGACTTAGAAACTTACCATAATTCAAGATACAAAGTAGATCTAAAGATTCCTTTCAAAAGCCACTATTTGACTCATGCATGTTTATAGATGCTGCCAGAAAGAACTTCTCTCCCCAGCTCTCTCATCACAAACACCATGAGGTCTCCATCTTAAAAGGATCCATATGGACTTTGGGAATTTGGAACACAAAGAAGAAACACAATCTACTAGCTACAGCAAAGGTCATTTTAAAGCCTCCAAGGTGACTGACTCACTCTCCTTCCCATGTCTCCCAGGAGGGTTACAAAACATTACATGATGTTTGGTCCACTGTGACCTCTCCATGGGGCACCATGAACTGGAAAATTGGGGTGGGGAGGAATGTGGATTTTTAGCTAATTCTATTTAAAAAAAAACTAAACCTGACACTGTTTCAACACAGCACAGTGGAAAGTTGAGAAATTATCTATTGAATAATGGGTTACCAATGAGAAGCACTAAGGAAAAAAAAAATCCACTTTTTCTTCTATAATCATTTTCCAGGGCTCAATTCCCTACGTTGTGCAGTTTGTCTCAACACTGCAGTCTTTTGAAATGGATTTGCGTTGGTTTCTTTTTTCTTTTTTTTAATTGAAGGGGAATGACAGGAGGCTGAGTCATCTTTTGGAAACTTTATTACTTTGCTTTCACAATTCTGTGTCTCAGATCTTCAAATGACTTCAGAGTGTGCCTTCTATTCTGCCTCTGCCTTTCTCCTTCTTCCTTTTCCCAAGCCTGGAATCAGCCTCAGATTAAATTGCAAAATGGGCCAAATATACTTTGGCACCATCCTACTTCTCTTTTATGTAAGCATTTTCCTTGATACATGCCTCCATATCACAGAAGTGGCCACCTACTCTAAATATTTATAAACCACTCCTCCCCTCCCCAGGCCATTCTTTTCTTCTTTTCTCCTTCTTCCTAAGGCAGTAAAAAAAAAAAATCAAGACTGTGATAGGATGTGCTGGGGAGATTTTGATTCATGATAGGAAGTACTCCAGCAACTTTTTAAATTCTTATCTCATGAAAAAAATAGTATGATGTAATGGATAGAGAGCTAACCTTGAAACCAGGAAGAGCTGTATTCAAATTCTGCCTCTGATATTTACTGACTGAGGAAGTTTTTTTAACATCTTCATTTTCCAGGCAATTCTCTAAGAATAAGTTGCAGAGAAGATGCTTACCTCCAACGGTCAAGGGAATTTCCTTGCCTATAGGTTTCCTTTGCCAATGACATTATAGGCCTAGTTCTTCTCCTGACTTATTCTACAGCTCCAAGGCTTAAGGAAGAGAAGCCTTAAGGGGCACCAGGATAACTAGTTTCAAGTGTTTTAGGGGCTAATCATAAAGCAGAATAATTATATTTATTCTACTTGGCTCAGAAAATGGAACCAGTAAATTAGAATCTCCTTAATGTCAGGGGTTGTTCCTTTTTTGTCAGCGTATCCCCAGCACCAAACACTGTCCTGTGAATATAGTGCATGTTCAATGAAAGCTTGCTGAATTGAACTGAGATGTATTAGGAACAGTGAGTGAAATTTAGAAGTTAGCAAACTTAAGCTAGATGTGAAGAAAAACTTCACATCAATTAGAGTTGACTATAAGTAGAATTGGCTTCCTGAGGAGGTTCCTCAGGAAGTTCCCCCTCATTCAACCAGAGTCTAGATGACTACTTAGGGTTGTAAGCTCAGAGCTAGAAGAGACTTTGGAGGTCATTGAGTCTAATCCTCTACATTTTACTGATTAGAAAACTGAGGTCAATACAGATTAAATGACTTGCCTAAGCTTATACCAGTGATATGTTCATTCATTCATTCGTCAATCATTCATTCATTTATTTATTCAATAGTCATTTATTAAATTATGTAGAAGAGATTCTCTTTCAGGCCAGGGTGACCTCAACAGCTTCTGAGGTCACTGTCAACTCTTTCTGTGATTCTTCTGTGATTTGTAAAGTAATATAAATTCCACTTCCCCAAAGTAATCAGTAGCATCAGGAAACCATCCAACAGCCATAAGACTAGATAGTAGTTCAGGTATGTTTGCTGTAGAAGAGAATGTTTTGTCAGAGGACAGCCTTACAGGAGTGCATTCCAATTGTTTGTTTGTTTGTTTGTTTTCTCCTACCATTAATTGTTTCAGTCCTCTCATCTTGTGTTGCTTAAAATTCTTCCACTCCAGGCAACAGCTAGCCATGAATATCTGCCTCTCATTATTTCCATGCTTATCATGTTTACCAGTCCCTGGACAATGGACAATCATTCAATCTTAGTTTTTGAAAAATGTAAACAAAGGAATTCCATGATGACAGATGAATTTATTTGTTTGGAGGTATTTTCCCTGTTTGAAATGCAGCAACTATTTAATCTGGGAAGAAGCTTCCCTGGTTTTCTCACTGGACCAATCAACTGTGTCACTCTCTTTGAGCTGGAACACAACCAGTCCCAAAGCTACTGATTATCTCTTTGAAGAGAAGGGATTATAGAGCATATGAGCCTCAAAAACACAAAGCAGGGAGGAGGGTTAGACCAGTCCACTGGGAGGAACTCTGGGGAAGGGGGCGGTTCTAAAAGTGAAGGCAGATTTCTTGTTCTATATAGGATGAGAAATTTTTAAATAATAAGTATCAGATCAAGTCTTAAGAAAAATCTATTCTAGAAACTCAAATGTTAGAGATCAGTTCCAGGGTGTGGTGAGTGACTGATGAATTAGGCATTTGCTGCAACATCCCAGAGAGATCAAGAAAAGGGTTAGTATTAGTATTTGAGAGATATAGAGGTCACACAAGATGCTCAAATTCACACTGTCTATCAGTGGTCAAATTAGAAATCACAAATATTTAGAGTTAAAGGGATCTTAAGATAGCCTTTGATTGAATCTTCCACCTTACCAGAAGGTAATGAGAGAGAGAGAGAGAGAGAGAGAGAGAGAGAGAGAGAGAGAGAGAGAGAGATCATCTTCTGTTCTTTACTCTTTCAGCCTTTCTCCAATCTGTTGCCAAGGTCAGTTGATTTTAGCTTCATAACATCTCTCATGTATGCCCCCTTCTCTCCAATGATACTGCCACCATCCTGGTGCAGGCCCTCATCATCTGACACCTGGACTATTGCAAGAAGTTCCCAGTTGGTCTCCCTACCCCATGTATCTATCTCCCCACTCTAGTCTGTCCTCCACTCAGCTGCCAAAGTGACATTCCTAAAACATAGTTCTGATTATGCCACTCCCTACTCAGCAAATTCTACTGGCTCCCTATCATCTCCCAGATCAAATAAAGGGCTCTGTCTGACATTCAAAGCCATTTATAGGCTCTTCCCTCACTTTTCCAATCTTCTTATACCTTACACCCCACCCACCCCCAAAAAGTACCTGCCTCACCTCAGAATCTCTGCCATTGCTAAGAGGCCTCACCCTGGGACACCCATCTGCCCTTGTGCCCTTTGTACAGTGGGATATCCCTCCTTCATACTATTCTCCTTCTCCCATTCCTCCCAGTTAGTCAATAAACATTTGTTAAGCATCTATTATATGCCAAGCACAGTGCTAAGCATTGTGCATGAACACACACACACAGAGGCAAAAGACAGTCCCTCCCCTCATAGAGCTCACAATCTACTGGGAGAGACAACAAGCAAACATGTACAAAGAAGCTCTATGTAGGATAAATAGGAAATAATTAAAAGAGGAAGGGCACTAGAATTGAGAGGAATTATGAAAGCCTTATTGCAGAAGACAAGATTTCAGTTGGAACTTAAAGGAAGCCAGGGAAGTTAGTAGACAGAGATGAAGAGGGAGAGAATTCTAGGCATGAGAGATAGCCCATGAACATTCTTAGAGTGGAGAAATGGAGAAACCTATATTTTGGGGAAGGGCCCGGGCTGACCAAACTTCATTTCTCTCCTAGCTGTATTCTAACTTTCCAGACTTCAACACCGACCCCCCAGTGGGTACCTTTACTCTACTCTTCCCATCTCCCTACTTTCCCACTTCCTTTGTTTATTATCTTCCCTCATTAGTATATAAGCTCCTTCAGGACCAGGGCTGTCTTTATTTTTGATCGTACTCATGTTTCCAGCACTTATCACAGTGTATAGCACATAGAAAATATAAAAAAGTATATTTGATCATAGATTTAAACTGGAAGGACATTTAAAGATCATCAGTTCCAACATTCTCTTTCAAAAATGGAGGAAATTGAGTCCTGGAGATGTTAATGACTTGTCTGAGGTCACACACAAGTAGTAAGTGACAGAATCAAGATGCGAACACAAGTCCTAGTTTGATAGATTTAGAGCTCCAAGGTCATCTAGACCAAGTTGTTCACTTTATGGATGAGGAATAGAAGGTCAAGGAGAGGGGAAGGAACTTTGCCAAAGTTACTTTTGCAAAGTATAAGAGCTGGATTTGGGCTCTGAAACCAAAACTCTTCTCATTGTACTAAATTAGACCCAAACATGTCTATGACACTCCTTTGACCTTTTCTGAGTTTCTCATCTCATGTGTCAAATACGTCCATCCTTGATTGACACTACTATTTTTTTAATAGTGGAAGGGAAAATATATGAAAATAAATTAGCACATTTCAGGGCTAAATCTCGTTACAGGATAATTCTTGTTTTTATCTGTCAAGGCCAGGTAAAGTTCAACAGTTACTCCTGCTGTCCAATGGATAGAAAAGATCAACACATCCTCTATGAGGGATTGCTGTTGTTTTAGAACATTGACAGATAACACCAATGGGGGGGAGGGTACAAATCTTGCAAAAGAAAACTTCAAGGATTAAAAATTTACGCAGAAGGATGATCCAGGTTGATTATGTAACACCAATGAGAATTCTCGAGCTTTCCTGGTTCTGCAACCCCATCTCCATCTGCAGTGAAAATAGATAGATAGATAGATAGATAGATAGATAGATAGATAGATAGATAGATAGATAGGTAACCTACTTTGATGATGCACTATACTTTCTTTGACTATTTCATATCCAGTATGGCTGGCCTTAATATCAAAAACACCATTACAGGGCTGTGTTCTTATATATATATTGAAATATGCAAATGGATCTGTGATCACATCAACTTGGATGCTCCCTCCAAAGATGGACATTAAAGCTCATCTTTCCTTTTCCCTTCTGGGTTACTCTTGTCTATATCCTCCCAGATTTTCACCAGAGGGAGTCCATCTAACATACTGAAGGCCACTCAGGCTGCCTGCCATTCTGACACTTCACTATAGGTGTAAGTAACCTTGGGTTCTCAGAGGCTGTGTCAGCAAAACATAAGCTCTGGAGGTTTCTACCATATCAGTAAGGCTTTGAATGTGTGCTTCTAGCCACAAGCTTTCCAAATAATAACGAATTCATGGCCTTAGCAAGCCATGAAAGAAAGAAAAATACAAAATGGCCCCCATCCTATATGGCTTTCTTTCACTTCTGCAGTGACCAGAACGGTGGTAAAGGGGGCAGAGCTACTAAGAGTCAATTTTTTGTTGTTTGTTTCAGGGCATCTGTGAACTTGAATTTGACTATCATAGCAAGGTCTTCTTTTAATCATTACAGTGGGGAAGATTTAAAAGCATGTGTGCGGGGCAACTAGGTGGCACAGTAGATAGAGCACGGGCCCTGGAGTCAGGAGGACCTGAGTTCAAATCCGGCTTCAGACACATAACACTCATTGGGCAAGTCACTTAACCCCAATTGCCTCACAAAAAAAAAAAAGCATGTGTGCTCAGGTGGTTGGCTGAGCACCTGACATACCTGCCTCTAAGTGCTCTCTACCTCAGTCACTCCTTACACTACAGTTCCAGATCATGGGGGTTAGGAGCATGCATAGCACTGAAACCTGGAAAATCCACATAAAATTTTTTGGCCCTCTCTTCGTACCAGTGAAGACGTCATATTGTTATGGTATTAAAAGATAAAATATGTTGATATCATGTAATACTATACATATATTTTATGCATTTCTGAGTTTCTAAGCTTTTTTTTTGCTAGCCTTCATGTGTTATCTGCAGCTTCTGCAAAACTGCCTAAAAATCCCCATTTTATTTCTTATGCCAACCTGTATGTAATATATTGAAACTGTGCTATATCAGGATTGTGATGGGGAACGTTATAATATGGAAAAGATAACTGTTGTTGTTTATTTATTTTTAGCCATATCTGACTCTTCATGATCCTATTTGGGATTTTCTTGGCAATGATACTAGAGTGGTTTGCCATTTCTCTCACCAGCTCGTTTTACAGATAAGGAAACCAAGGCAAAAAAGGTTAAGTGACTTGCACGGTATCACACAGCTAATAAATGTCTGAGACCAGATTTGAACTCAGATCTTCCTGACTCCAGGACCAGCATTCTATCTACTATGCCACCTAGCTGCCCTGTCAAATCATATAGGCATGGTTACTGTGGCTCTGTTTTGGAGGAAAAGGTTTGCCTCCCACCCAGCAACTTCCTGTAGCTGAGTTCTCATTCAAAGACATTCCTCTTCCTGTTTGATCTAACACCCAATATGGTTAAGCCACTGTCTCCTAAGAAACATCTGTCAGGAGGCATTGTCCCTTTGCCTGCCTCAAAAGCAGGGCAAGGCTTAGCCTCCAGCTACTGCTGTCTTTGCCTGAGCCTAGGAAACTACACTCTAGAAAAATCATTAAGATATATATCATTTCCCCAGGCACCTGAGTATGGGGATGCAATTGCATTAATTTACTAATTTGCCTTTGCTATCGCTGACTACACAGCGATACAATGTCTTTTGCTCATCAAAATTGCTCAGCATTTTATGTAATTTTAATGTCTGTAATGGGAAGCAGTTGATAAGAGATGGGTGCAAGATACTGAACAAGTTAATAATCTGGGGGGCATAAAATTATAACACACTAGTAAAGCATGGAAGCAGCTGCCTGAAATAGTCTTTATCTTGGAAAGTGTGCTGTGGGGTCATTATAGTATGATTTTATTGGCTATTTCTTGGCAAAATGCCAGAATGGCTTATGGCTTCTCAGAAAGGTAGCATTGCATTTTATGAATGATAGACAGATGGTTTTTATGACACCTTTGCATTGTAGTTTATGGTTAGTAAAAGACTAGTGCCAATCCCCTCCAGACATGTGAAATCAAATGAACAAACAGCCTTTGAAAACGTTTTTCTTTCTTTTTTTTTTAAACAATTTTTTTGGCTGATCAGATTATCAAGGCAGAAACATTCACTAGCTGGCCCCAATTATCCCAATACTCTGACTTAACATGCTTTTTTAAAAAGTCAATTGAGTGGGCGGTGGGGTAGAGATCACTGTTTCCTCCCTATTTTAAGCTAGACAGATGTCTAAGATTCAGGACTCTATGTAGGCAACTTCATCTTTTTTTTTTGCCTCTCTATCATCTAATTGGATTTTCCTGATCAAATCCTGTTCTCTTAATCAAAAAGCAAGCAAAATCAATTTTTCTAAGCTACTATAATCCAAATGAAACATTTAGTCATAAAGCGCTGAAAGCCTTATTCTGCAAAGCTCTGTCAGAAGCCGCTCACCAAATTGTTTAACCTATCTCCTTATAAAGCCACACTAATCATTGCTGCCCTTCTGGAATACTACCTTGTCATGGGGGAGGGGCTTGTGTAGATCAATGTAACTACAAGCTATGCTGTGCAGGGTTACCCAAGACAGACAGGTGATAGGACAGCACTCTGATAAAAGGTGATCCACTGGAGAAGGAAATGGCACGCCACTCTAGTATTTTTGCCAAGAAAGCACTATGGACAGACTTTGAAAGAGAGTGCAGCATGGAAGGACCTGGTGTGGTATGGTCCATGGGGTCACAAAGAGTCAGATAGATTGAACAGCTAACAACAACAAAAATTATTGCTGAGTTCTACCTGGATCCTTCTTTGTGTTACATCATTGTTGATACACACATACATACATACATACATACATACATACATACACACATACATATGTGTGTATGTATATGTATGTATATATTACACACACACATATATATAAATACATACATATACAATCTCAAATCTTTATTTCTCATTGCAGTTATTATATCTGGCAAAGGTAATGAATCATTTAAATGTTTAAAAAATAGCATTGGCATACTTAGATCCTGCACTACAACACAGAAAAATCATGGGACTACTAGTGGATAGAGGCTCAGGGCCATGTCAACATCCAGCTCCAACATGGTCCCTTTTGTCCCAGTGTCATGGAAAGACAAGAATCAATGAAACAACCAATACCAAAGTTGGAAGATCAGTCAGTCAGTCAGTCAATAAGCATTTATTAAGCACCTACAATGTGCCAGGCACTGTGCTAAGCATGGAGGATACAGAAAGATGCAAAAGACAATCCCTTACCTCAAGGAGTTCACAATCGAATGGGAAGGAATCTTAGTGGTCATTCAATTTAATTTGATCACATGGTTATGAATCCTTAGTTCACAGCTTGCAGAGTTCCAGTAGCAGGAAACCACTAATAAGTCCTGAGGAACATCATTCTACCCTCAGGGTTTTTTTTTTTAAATTATTATTTTCAGTTCCAAATTCTCTCCCTTCTTCCACCTATCCCCCACTGCTGAGAAGACAAGAAATGTAATACTTTAATGTACATATGAAGTCACGTAAAACATTTTCCAAATTAGTCATTGCAGCTCTCATTATTAAGAATTTTTTTCCATGCATTAAGTTGAAATTTGACCTTTCCAAAATGTGTACCCATTACTCCTATTTCTGATTTCTCAGACATTTCCAGGCTTTCCAACAGGTACACTGTGTTTGGCAGGTTGCTTTTCCCTGTCTCCTGAAAAAAAGCTATGGGCTCCTTTGCATCCTCCACTCTTCCCAAATCCACAGCTAGGTCCTGACTAGTATGAAGAATGAATCCCATGAAGGGGTCTCATATATTTAAATTTGCACTATTTGAAGTTAAAATTTTGGAAAATATGAGACAGGTTACACAGTGAATAAAGTGGTGGGCCTGGATTAAGGAAGACCTTAATTCAAATCTTGCTTCAGATACCTTCTAGGTGTATGACCCTGAGCAAATCACATAAAATGAGGATATTAATAGCACCCACCTCCTAGAGTTGTTTTGAGAATCAAATGAGATAATAGCAGGATGACATGGTCAGACCTGCACTTTAGTAAGAACAATTTGACAGCTGAGTAAATGATGGACTGGAGCAGGAGAGACCCAAGTCAGGGAGACCAACTGAAAGGGATTGCAATGGCAATTGTAGGATTTCTGTTAGAGGTAGCCCCCCAATCTGAGCTTTGAAGGAAGCTAGAGACTCTGAAGTGTTGTATACATGTTACATCTATTATTATCAAATAATTCAAGGTGGGATCACAAAATGTTAAAGGAGGAAGGTAGCATAGCCGTAATCATAATAATTAATGCTTAGATAGTGCGTTATGGTTTATAAAGCAATTTCCTGACAACAACCTCATGAGAAAAACAGTCTAATTCAACCCTTCATTTTTTCCTGATGCAATAAGGTGTTTATGACTAATAGCAACTGAATGAGTAGTCCACACTTACTCAGATTAACTTCATACAAAGAAAGGCATCTCTAATAGTGGACTGAAATGCAATATCTGCAGCGTCATGGAGATGTGTCTGTGTGTGTGTGTGTGTGTGTGTGTGTGTGTGTGTGTGTAATTCCTTCCTAGCCCATCCTAGTTAAATTTCCTTACACACAAAATAAAGGAGAAGGACTAAATGACCTTTTAATGTCCCTTTTAGCTCTGGCATTCCATGAGTATGAAATTCCTCCACTTAGTAACTATTCATTCCCATTACAGTATATCTAAGGCAAGCCTGGCCTAAGGTAGGTATAGATGACCCACTCTCTTATCTTTTCTTTGCCCTTTCAATCTTTTTTTCCCCTTTTATTTCTTTTGCCTCTTCTTTTCTTCCTTCACTTTAGCCTATGTTTTAGGTTGACCAGAGACACCACTGAGGTCTGCAGGATTCCTCAGGGATACCTAATCTACTGTTTCTGGAGAATATTAAAGAGCTTTCTTTATACACCAAAGTGAACCAACCAAGATAAAGTAAAATTTAAAGTCTATAAACACAGAAACAGGCTAGGAGTGAACAACATGTATTGTCATATCATGTGCCAAGTTGAGACCAAGTGGGAATGTAAGGAGGTAGTCACCTGTTTGGTGTTATTTCTGGGTACTTGGAATACCTATCTATCTCTAAATACCTCCCACAGAATAAGACTTTAAATTCCTTTAATAGGGGATAAAGCTTTATTTTCACAATTGGAGATAAGGCTTAAAATACAAATACTCTGAGAGAGATATTCAAACTAATGGATAAGTGACTGATATCTGAGCCTTCATCTAAGAGTATAGGCAAGAGGGTACTAAGTACCTCAGAAGGAGTAAGGTATCCCATGAGGGCAAAAGAAAGCAGAGAAATGAGATTGTAAAGGTGCTAAAGACCCTTTCCAGTCTGTTCCTCTTGCGGATGTAAAACACAAGTCTATCTAATAGAAATAAAACTACATTTCTTAGGATACCCTGGGCTTCAAGGATGGAGCTAAACAGAGTGCTAAAGACTTTAATTCCCATGAAACTAGATATCTAAGTACAGGATGCTTTGCATTTTTGGGGTGATATAGAAAGAGGACAAAAATGGCAACCACAGCACATACATCTTAGGACCTGGCCAAGGGAAGATTTACTTTCAAAGTTGAATTGGTTATAGGTGAATAGGGAAAATGTTTTGAATCCAACATTTTACATTTGATGTACAGAAAAAAATAAGTGTGTTAGTATTTGACATTTCCAGTCTCTCCAACAGGTATAGTGCATTTGGCAGGCTACTTTTCCCTGTCTCCTAAAAAAAAGGTATGGGCTTCTCTGCATCCTTCACTCTTCCCAAAGCAAGTCACACAGCACTAGAATTGTAACAGTCTCAGTCAAGAAAGCTAACCTAGATTCCTGTGGCCTTGCTTGAGTGCCTTTGTTTACCATCTTATGTTTCTGTGTACTCCATTTGTAAAAGCAAACAATAATCAAAGCAAAAGCAAACAATTTGTCAATGGAATTTTACTTCCGTCACTTAAATTACCAATTGTCAACATACAGAAACCATGGACTCTCTCTTGCACTCTCAAGTTGGTAAAGAAAGGCACTCAGGCAAAGGCACAGGAATCCTTTGCTTGACATGACACACTGAACCTATTGGAGAGACTGGAAATTCCCCCATTCCATTCTAGCCTCTCCTGATGGCAATTAGGAAGCCAAGCCCTTGCTTTAAAAGACACAATTCACATTATTTAGAGTGTGTGGACCAATGAACGGTCAGCATGGAGAGAGAGGCAATAACTAAGTGGTATGGTGGAGAAGCTTGCTAGACCTAGAGTCTAAAAGGCCCGAGTTCAAATCCGACCTCAGATGTGTGTTAGATGTGGGACCTTGAGCGAGTCACTTAACCACTCTCTCTGCTTCAATTTCTTCATCTTTAAAATGGAAGTAATAATAACACCTACTTCACAGGGTTGGTCTAAAGATAAAATGAGAATCTTGTAAATTTTTTTATAAACCTTAAAACACTTTATAAAATTTAGTTATTGTTATTTCCACTATATCATTCACTACTTTCATAATCTTGAAGAGCTGGAAGAGGTCTTTGTATTCATCCAATCCAAAAAATTTTTTCATTTTAAAATTGGAGCAACTGAGCTACAAAGAAAGGAAATGATTTGGCCAAGGTCATTTCCACTTTCTAAAGTTCAGAAAAGATTTGTACCTGGGTCCTCTGAATTAAAATCTAGTCAGTTGATGTTTTTCCCAATCCAACATGTTGGAATAGGTTATATCAGGGCCCATCTACCCTGGTCAAAATTAGATGGTAAAGTTTTTCTTTGATAATCTCTATGGTTTATCCTTTCTCCAGTGGCTCAGCATGCCTGCAACCCCCTCCACCATGATCATTTCCAAGGGCCCACCCTCTGTGTAAACATTAAAAAAGTAGAGCAAAAGAGGGGAAAATTGATGTCAACTCCCCACACATGACATCCCTTCCCTTCTCTTTTTGTTGGGGACTTTTTCAAATGTTTTAATCTTTTTGAAAAGTCAAATAATAATAATGAGTTTGTATTTATATAACACTTGAAGATTCAGAAAGCACTTTATATGTGCTATCTGATCCATTCTAGATCCAAAGACTAGATCCTAGAAATACTATGAGTGAGGTACTATTATTATTTTCACTCTACAAATGAAGAAACTGAGGCTGAGAGAGATTAAGGGATTTTACCTGGGGCAGCTAGCTGATGCAGTGCATAGAACACTGGCCCTGGACTCAGGATTACCTGAGTTCAAATCCAGCCTCGGACACTTGACACTTACTAGCTGCATGACCCTAGATAAGTCACGTAACCCCAATTGTCTCACAAAAAAAGAGAGAGAGATTGCTCAGACCCACACAGCTAGTAAGTATCTAAGGCAGAATTTGATTCTTTGATTGTTCCTGATTCCAAGTCCAACACTTTATCTAATGTTCCACTAAAAGTGGTACTGAGGGAGAATAAAATGAAAAAAAAATCTATCTCCTTATTCCTCACCTCATCCTCAACCCCTACTACATACACACTTTTCTGATTTTTTAAAAATTTTCTTCTCCCTGGGTCTTTTGCTTTCTGCTTTGGTCTCATCATTCCTATAGGGCCTAGGTTGCTCTTGTCTAATGGTTGGGATTAGAAAGTAACTTAATCATATTTGAACTTATGATGGTGATGAGTGGGAGCCCTTTTAGCACTAGTTGCATTTTGGTGAAGGGTTGGAAGATGCAAAGAAATGAATCTTTATTGACAGAATGTCAAAGAAAATGCCAGACATTTGGCAAAATTTATTTTTTTTTCCATCAGGGGTTTGGTGGGAAGTGAGGAAAAAGACTCTTCTTAGAATCTTCAAAATCTATTCCTTATAATAAATAAATAAATAAAACACTTCTACTAAAAGTCTAAGTATTTATTGCATGAGTTTAGTTTGAGATTTCCTAGGGGACTCCAACTGTGTTTCTTCATGTGCTTTTTTCTGTATGGCCACAATGAACACAGTGTGACAGGTTTAGAAATTGATCATCAGGTTTGAGTCAACAAAAAAACAACAACAAAAAACCTACTCACAGCATAACCTGGCAGAGTAGAAACTCTGTGACAATCCAGGACTGAGCACTTTTGCCTGCAGAAGGGGGAAAGACAGAGAGCTCTGTATCCCCATGTCCTGTTTCACTGGAATGGCATAATGATTCATGTGAGTGAGGCCTATGAATTGCCTCAAGAAAGGTGCCATGAAAATGACCATTATTCATTGCTATTGCTGCTCTGGAAAAGGCTGTAAACTATCACTGATGACTTAGAAGCTGAGAAAAAGGCCGGAATTAGAACTCT